ACTTTTGGTGCTTTTCCCCCTAAGGTCAAAGGCTACCGACGTATTATGATTGCCGGTCACAATTTTTTATAAGGGGCCTCTAGGCTAAGGCTGGTCACGTTAGCAGATCTGAGGGCACTTCGGACACTGATCTGTAGTTTGACCTTGTTTGAGCATGTTTACTCCCTAGGTCGGAGCCTGGGGATCTCAAAACAGGACCCAAGTAAGTTAACGTAGAGTCCTACCCACCCTGTGAATTTCTTGTCTATTACTCTCCTAGTTTTTTATATTTTGGGTGTCAAATTGATCCGCCACCCAACTCGAGCGCGTCGCATTCAATTGGCCATCCGAGCGCGTGTCAAAGACATCTTCCTGGAAAAGTGCTCGCATCCCAACCCATTTAGATCCCTTAGTGCTACCACACCACCCCAAAGGATGTCACGGGCACTAAAATTACTTGCCAATCAGTTTGGTATACTGTTAGCACTCAGCGTTGTCTGCTTGATGGGCGCACGCGCGGGGCCAACCAAAACCCACCGCTAACCCTATCGCAAACGCTACCAAAAACCCTATCAGTTCTTGTGAGAATTGCAACATTTTTTGTGCGTGTTAACATGAATACGACACATTTTTCCTTAAAGCGATTTGAGAGATTTATTGTCATGTATGATGATTGCCGAGCATGTTTTGTCATGGAGATGGCATTTTTATGGTAATGCAGACGCTTTTCTGCGGGCTGTCACTTTGATAAGTGACATAAGCATCTAGATATATAACATAAATTGGAGCTATGCCACATAATTTACACAGCAGGATAAAGATGGATCACGTCAGCCTGAAAGCTGGAGAGATCTGAACCGGTATGTACGGGACAGGCACGGTCACCGTCCCAAATGAAGGGCGCACGGGCGCTCTTTCGTCTCCCTCTCGTTACACAAACGGGTTGAACGTGCCTCATACCTGAAAACCACACGAGTCCTGGAACCTTTCACAAAAGACCCACTTATTGTCCAAGGGTAAACACTGTTGACGTTATCATCTTCAACTGCTTAGGGACTGACGCAGCCGCGAACAGCATTCCGCCCTTCTAGTCAAATCATAATGGCTGCAATCGGCACAACACCCCCGCGTGGTGTGCTCCACAATTTCGCTGCTTCCCATTTGCGCCGCGGAAATGCAGCCATTTCTGTGCGTCTTGGTTGGGTCACACATCCTCAGCTATCTTATCTCCCAGCCGCGACAGCCTTCAAGGTGACGGCCGCCCAGGGCCGCTGCCTCTCCAAACGGCTTGTCTTTGTCCTCCGCTGGGTGCACCGTAAATCACATCAACAACACCCAATTATGGTACGCATCTTGGCTAAGCGCTACAACAGCCTAAATTATCTTGCGTATGCTTGGGACTAACCAAAGTGTCATATCCGAGCCATAAACGCCGGTGAGACTCGCCATAAAAGGGTTCATTGCCTTCGGGTTTGCTCGAGGCTGTCGGGGCCGTTATGCATTTTTATGCGCATTTTTCAACATCATCGGAGCAAGCGTTGACAGACTCATCGTACGTAACTTTCTGACGCCTTTTCCCATAGCTCTCGAAGGGGGCTTTTCCTTATCAGTCTACCGATTTATTGTCCTAACTTGCTCCATTGACAATCAACCGGCGCCCGCCAAACACAACTCCCTGTGGTGGGGCCTAACAAGCGATACATCAGGCATCGCCAAGGATGAGCGACCTCGGACTGCACGTGCAGATGAGGTTGTAGCAGGTGATTAAATCTAGTGAGCCACACAGGTTGACAGCCTCTTGGGTGGTTAGTTCCCTCAGCGATGATGCAAGGCTTCTACTGAACGGGCTCGTCTCTGAACTACGTGTCCATCAGATTTCGCCGACTGAAACGCAGTATAAACATCTACTGAGGCGAGACCTAGACACGATATGAGAAGATTGGAAAGGCCGGAGCGTGGATGATTCATTGGCCTGGATAATGCCAGATCAAAGGGACCGACCTTTGCGTTTACAGAGCAATCCAAACACTTCAAATGAACACCATAAAATCGTCGTTGTAACAAAACTAGGTTCTCGGAGTGAATACCGGGAAAGCGGTACAATCTAACTGATTATTTGTTTAAAAAACAATCACATTAAGAAGTCAAAGCTTCTTAACGTGATTGTTTCACTAGCTTCATTTGACTAGCTTCAAGACTGCATTAGCACGCTATATGGCTGCAACACAACGGGAAGTGGTTATTGTGTCTCCTTATTCAAGCGACAGTGACGGTCTAAACAGGCATAATCATACGTAAGACCTTGCTTACATTGGGCCGACAGCAATTTTGTTAAGCTAGCAATTCCATGGCTGCTTATCATTGGCATGATATTTTGGGAGCCCCAGATTCTTTCTGCAGCAGTTATACTCACTGGGTTCGTTGCTCTCTCGATATTATACAATTGCAGTTGCTATTTGGCTCCCAACCGTGATCATCGAGCCAATCTGTTTCAACGTGTTGTCACATGACGCGTGTTGCTGTGTTGCCGTGTGTGTTGTGTTGCTCCTAACTGTGTTGCTCCTAAAGCCAGATCCGTTAACGTTAGTTTTTCTAAAGCATGAGCCCTCTGCCTGGATAGGCACCTGTATGGCAATCGGCTAGCTGACATCGTCTGTTTTTCTCAACACCAGGGTCGCGATTCGGAAACCTTTAATCATAGTGTCATGCGAAACACAGTTCAATTGGGTTCAAGGGCGTGTACTTGCATTCAACATTAATACTGAACCAGAAAAAAGAGAACCTGAACCAAACGCTTTGCATCCTTTGTTCTGTAGGGATGTCTTGGTGTATCTGACTTTGCTAAGCACAGATGATACAAAAACCCGGGTCCCACCATGCCGGTGGCTTAGTTCCTGTTCATCGAGGAGGGATTAAGCTGTCTGTTTACAATTAATACTGACTGACGTTCGCCGCGTCATGCAGCCTCACGTCACCAACGCTTTGTAGCAACCTAACTTTTCCGTAAACTGTCGTTAGCTGTCTTCGGTAAGCCAAACGATTCGCGCTTTGTCCGGGCCCGAGCCGATCTTAATGGTCAGACGTCCAGCGCTCCCGAGGCTGCGCTGCGGGGACGGCAAAATGACCATAAGAAGCACGGTTTTCCAAATCATTCGCGGAAAACCACCAGGTCGGTGCCAGCCTCTATAGCGGTGTTCAGACTTTTTTGTTTAATGCTTGCTTGTGCTTGCTTGTAAAGCACTTTCCACTTCACCGCAGCTGACTGTCATGTCATTTGATTTTTCCAATAACTAGCCAATAAAAGTCAGGGGATAGTACAGGAAAGTTCAGCGGGTGCATATCAAATATTGATTGGAGTTTTAGCCCACGACCTCATCGCAAATAGCATCGGATGATATATATATATATATATATACATATATATATATATAGTTATGTATATAGTTATATATATAGCCTATATGGATATAAATACATGCAGATGAATATATACACACATGTATATATATATATATATATATATATATATATATATATATATATATATATATATATACATTGGAAGGAACCATTGCCAGAGAAATGATTGGTCAGGTCAAGCTGTAAACAATCAGACCCCTGTGATCAGTATCTATTATGTAATCATACCGTGTTCCATATCTATCATGCCGTATTAAATGCATTGCAATTCTGAAAAAATTGCAAGCATTTCAATGGCAAACAGCCCGGAAAACCCGCTCCCTAAATGCTACTACTCTCTTTAGGCCCTGTTCGAACTCCAAGCGCCGAAGTGGAGCGTTGTAGCAGCCCCGGTCGCCACAACACCGCTGCCGGTCGACCGGATAACTTGCATTAATGAATTCGCTCACAGCCGAAGTCATACAGCTTGACGCAAAGCGAAAGTTCCACATGATGAGGCTGCGTCTAAGTCGGCCTCGCGCAGGCGCCGTGGGGTTAGACAGCCCGGTCTGCCAAGGCCCGGCTGCAGGGCAGTCCCTCGGGGAACATCGAACGCGAGCAGAAAGTGGCTACGGCTCGTACACGGGCGTGTGGTACGGGCTTGTCATTAGGGCGTGGGCTATATGTTAGAACAGTGTCGTTGAAACTTTGGACTTGCCAGCTTACACGCAGCTACGGTCTCATTTAGCTGGTGCTAACTGGGATATGTAGGCCACACAAGCTCGAATGAGTGTTGTTAGTAGGTCTGCGTTCGGCCTTGCCTCCGTTGGCGTCCGCCAGCACTTTTTGCAGCTTAGGAGTCGCACACAAGCTTGGGAAGAGCCGAAGCCGCAAAGGCGGGAGTGTTTACGGCTTACGTGATACTTTCCCTATCTCGTAGCGGATGCGAGTGCAATAGTCGTTATGGCCTCGCGATGTTGTTTCATTTAGTGAGGGGACAGGCTGAAGGATTTACCACCTTGTTATGCCATTTCAGACGACCACATCTTTGCTCCTACTACAAGATCCGGTAGCGCACTTCTAACATGATGACAGCGATGACCCTGTTACATATATTTATACCAGTCCTATCGTCGAGTAAAAACATGAATTTCCGTTTGGCCTGCGATCTCTTTGGCCTTCTGTCAAGTCGGATCCACACAGGGGCTTTCACAGAGTTTTTCTGCCCCAGTAACCCTGAAAGCTTGAATTTTGTGCAGCTTGCAGCAGGCCTCATTTCAGAAGCCTTCCGTTCGGAAAGTCATTCCTCGCGGTCCCGTGATCATCGGTACTCCCCTGTCCGATCTGGGCACTATCCTGTCTGTCCTGTCCGATCTGGACACTGCCCTGCCCGATCTGGGCTCTGCCTTTTTCTATCTGGGCCCTGGCCTGTCTTGCCCCGGCAGGCCTCTGCTTGTTCCGGTGGGGCGTCCGCCTGGCACGGCACGTGTCAAACGGAGCGGCGCTGCGCCGTGTCTGTCGCAACTGTTTACAGCCTGTGACGGCCTGCCAGCGGCGGCCGGTCAGTCACTGGCGGAGACAGGCTGTCTGGCCGCTCCGGGTTGCCGTCCGGATCCGCCGCCGCCGCCTCCGCCGCCGCCGCCACAGACGGACTGCAGACGGAGCGAGGCTGGACGGCGCAGAGCAGCCGGTAAGGTGAGCGGCTGGGACCAGCTGTGACCGCCGCTGCCAAAGTCTGAGAAGCCTGATTTGCCGGAAGGTAGACGCCTACCCGGTTGTGGTGCCGGGTGCCGTGTATATTTGTCTCGTTGATTCGTAGAATAAGCCTTGAGCTATGTTTGACAGAGATACAGCGACACCTAGACCATCGGATGTGGTAAATTGCTAAATTGCCGGAGTACTGGTGGTGTAGCGGTTCAGTTGCGTGTCTCGGAAACCAGAAGTACGGTGCTTAATTCTCCGCGGTGTCCGTCCTTCTCACGTTGCCCGTGCTCTCTGCCTCCTGCCCGTTCTTCCTGTCCTGAGAGGCAAGCGATGCCACACAGCTTCAGCAGCTAAGTGCGTCGTTAAGCCCCCAATGGCTCACTGGTAAAATGCTGAAGCTTCCTTGGATGAGGGCCCTCTGTTTGGATGATTTTTCAACGCTTTAGATTTCATTTATCGTACTTCGAATCAATTCGAAGGCGTGGCGGCATCCTTCACATATTTGTGAGTCTATCAAGGTCGCGGGAATATGTAAAACGGCGTCCGTTTCCCCATATTGTGTCAAGACAGACACCATGTATTTGGACCTTCAACCGAGTTAATTGACAATCACAGTTTTGTGTTTAAAGCAATGCACGTACGTATGCAATTAATGCTGCTAAATCCTGTGGGCAATACAATCAGGAAGAGGAATAAACATACATAAAAATGTTACGTACGCCGTTCCTGAATAAACTCCTACATTTACGTAATTCCAGTCATCACCAGGAGGCGACCAGCATGTTTCGGACCGACAATAACTTTGCCCACGCCCGGTCAGGTCTGGGTGCAAGCAGTATGTTTCCTACCACGCAACCACAATCACCTACGCAATATTTGGGGTTGGGCACCGATGACCGCTCTGACGCTACTTAAGATCGTTCTGAGCCCATTCCAGATTCCACCGATCTTGGTGACGCCAAATGCTCGGAACGAACGCCTCCCGCGGGGTAGATCCATCGCTCCTGACTCCCCGGGGCGTGCTCTGAGTGCTGATCGACACCCTGGGGAGGGTTAGGCGGACTGTGCACCGCCTTCTGGTACCGGAATCCGCCCGGTATAATCGGCTCCAGTCGCCGGTGGTGTGGTCGTCGGCGTCGACGACGGCTCTGCCCCGCTGGCATCGCGGCAGCGCCGGTGTTGACCAGCAAGTCGGCCTCTCTACCGACGGTGGCCGGCAAGTCGGCCTCTGTACGGACGGTGGCCGACGAGTCATCCTCTCTGCGGACAGTGGCCGGCGAGTCGGCCTCTCTACGGATGGTGGCTGGCATGGCCGGCGAGTCGGCCTCCATAGAGAGAGCGGCGGGCGAGTCGGCCTCTGTAGGGGCGGCGGCGGGCGAGTCGGCGTCTGTAGGGGCGGCGGCGGCGGACGGGGTGGCCTCTATAGGGGCGGCGTCGGGCGAGTTGGCCTCTGTAGGGGCGGCGGTGGTGGGCGAGTCGGCGTCTGTAGGGGCGGCGGTGGTGGGCGAGTCAGCCTCTGTAGCGGCGGCGGCGGCGGTCTGTAGGGGCGCCGGTGGTGGCCGAGTTGGCCTCTGCAGGGGCGGCGGGTGACGCTGATCGCTTGTCGGCCACCGGCCGGTCAGGAGCCGGGACTCGGCCGGCCAGACGGGCGTCCAATACACCGCTGGGCAGCGAGATCTCGTGGCGTGCTGCAGAACGGGATGATGAGCTTAGAAGGGCTTCAGGATCCGCTTTTGCCGATGGTGGTTGATACGTTTGGAGGCCGAGCGCGCTGTGCCGATGAAGGGCGCCGATATTGAGGTCCAGTGGCGCGTGCCTTCTCTAGTGCCACTTTATAGACACTTCACTGGACGTAAGCCTGTCTCTAGAGCGTTATATGACGCCCGGCGCAGGGCTTCGTAGAACTGCTTTGCTCATGGGTCATCAGACATTCCACGTAGTAATCATACGGAGTGTGAAAAGGCCCTGTACTAATGAAGCACGATAAGCTACATTACTGTCACTTGGAGCCTCGACATTTCAATACTTTTCGCCGACACTTGTAAGGACACCTGGCCAATTCCAAGAAGACCCTGACTTCATCCTCGCGAGGAAGCACGAGATCCTTTTTTATGGTCCAGATTGGATGTTGTAAAATCCGCCCTTCCGTTGTTTTTGGACCGAATCAAGCACCAGCTTTCTTCACACTTAATTTTGTCATTGAGTCGTTAGGCTCGAATGCGTTTCTGTGAAAGCAGAGCCATTCATGGTGCCAAAATGTACACAGCGATTTCCGTTAAGCATGTCGTCAAATGTCATTTAAGCGAATTTGGTGCGATATGATTAGAACGCGGTCATGCCGATTTTATGGGTGACTGTACGGTAAAAAGGAACACGTCATGAGAATCACCAATCTCGTGATAAATGCACCGTCGTTATGCGATGCGTTTTTTGTCATTTAAAAGTTAAAGAAATATTTAGGTTCTTCAAGATGTACAGTGGTAAAGACATAATGATATCTTATGTACTGGACTTAATAATGACGTGACCGTCAAACATGACATAATAATGACGTGACCGTCAAATATGATGACATTACTTACATGCAAACTATAAAATGCTGCATTTCCTAGAAGAGCTGGTTGATAGTGGCATTGTACTTAGTTTTTGGGCCACATTCCTTATCAAACAAATTGTCACAGGATGACACATTCGTCGAATTGGTAAAACCTGAAATTATCTATAAGCTATACACCCTCGGTATTCGCTTAGTGGTGCTAAGAGACATATTCATGTTTGTGTATGTTTTGATGGTTCGTCCCTCCTCACTTCTTTATGGGATCACCTCATATGCTTCCAAGATTTTTACGTTCAACGCGTTCACATCAATATTTAACGAGTTTAGGTCAATTGCTGCAATATGATTTGCATGTTCAGTTACATTATATTACTATATTTGTGGTTTTAGGGCTGTCAACTACACAGATAAATGGCGCCCCTCATCCGATTATACTGCATAATAAAGTGATATCAGCACGCAACTTACCGATATTAATTTCAGCCAAAGCCCAGCAATGGACCCGTTGACATACACTCAGATACATGCCGATCGGAAACGATTTGAGTTGTTTTGGTTATGATGTTTTCAGATGTGAATTATATGTTGCAACAAGAACTACTTGTGCGTCGTGGGATAGGCAAAATTTGTTAGCGGTTTTAAACAGCTGCCAGATTCATTACTTGTTATTATTAGATTGCAACAAAAATAAACTAATGGAAAGCCAAGTTCCTTCAGGGACCGTTATCAATGGGTTTTACGAATCCGTTGTTAAGTTCACATGAGAGCTCAAACTGCATGCATTCCATTTTCTTGCAAATATCCTCGAAGGTAATTCCAATTTCGTAGATATTTACAGTAAATTGCGGAAAAGGTAGATCACTTCCCTTTTCCAGTGAGCGAGTTAAACAGTCGGAGTTGGTTTTTTGGGACTTCGTGACTTCCCTCAGGACAGTTTTGATATGAACCGTCATAAGTTGGGGCTCTTATTTTACTCAGAGGTGACTCCAGGAAAGGTTTTTGGGAGGCGTGTCAGGACGAATCACAGTCCGTTTTTTGGCAAATGCGCCATTCACATTTCATTGATTAAACGCTGTCCATTTCTGCCTGCCGTGGTTTATAGCAAGGCTTATTGCATCAAAGTTGATCACATTTAGGTAATACACGGTACGCTTGAGCCGCTAGCGCTGGATCCAGCGTGTTAAACAGCGTGTTAACACGCTGCTTAACTGGATCCAGCGTGTTAACACGCTCAAAGCCGCATTGCCTAACTTTTTCCTTTCGTGAATGCGCCATTACACGCATTTGCGAAACACGATGTGTCAATAGAGAATTAAAGGTCCAGTGGTTAGTTCAAGCCATTGCGTGACAAAATCGGCTCAAAATGTTACGATATCTCCGTGAGTTTAAATTGCTCCAGACTCCCCGCATAGTTTTAATGAAATGCACCACGTAAAAAGGGATCAACTATGCTTCATCAATGCGGTGTAGATACTTCTGATGAATCGCCCTCCATCTGCTTGAGGTATATCAGCCAGTACATATCCTGTGCGTGCACATATCCTGTGCGTATCCTGTGCGTGTGCGTACGGTATTTCTCACCCGTGCATTGCTGGTTTTCGTCCCCTAACCGCTTGATTGCAATTATAATATTACTGTGCAACCAATCTCATGACCTTTTGCAAGTTGATTTTCAATCACATTTGATGAATTTGTTTTTGAAAAGCTGCATGATCGCATTCGTCTACAGGCAAGTTTTGCCCTTAACTTTTAGCATCTTTCTCACACATGATACGCGCATTCTTTGCACAGTTGGCAGTCTACTGCACTGTGCACCGCAGCTAGAACTCTGACAGGAATTCCCATTCATGACATCAACTAGAGCTGCCTGAACACGATTAAAACTTCACTTGTCTAGAACAGGCAGAAAAAATGTTGTTTGCATAAGCAAATTTTCAGTCGCATTTCATCCCAAAGATCTTAAACGTTCCACTTTTACATTTCGTCGTCAGCACAAGCACGCTACCTCGAAATACGCCCGCGATTCAAATATCACTACAGCATGCTCGCCTCCCACATGGTCCGCGTTAGACCCAATTATGACAAAATTATTGTTATGTAAAAAGAGGTCCCATGCAACAATCAAACGTAGCAAAGGGCCGGAAATGTATGCCGCTGCTTTCTACGCACCTAACTTAAATCCGATGGTTTGGTAACGCAGTCTCTGCTTAAAGCCTGTAATTTAATTGACAACCGTTCGGAAATCATCCGGCTAATTGAACGGATCTGGTTTCGCCCGGGCCGAGGGGTGCTCTGATTGGCTGAGGGCGCGGCCTCGCCCCATTGGTCCATTGGTCGCCGCTGTCTCGTGGGGAATTGAATATAAGGTGCCGGAGAGGCGGCACCAGCATCGCAGTCGGCGGTGGAGCAGCACAGCGGCGACCACGAGGCGATCTCCTCCCGGGACAAGCACCGAGTGAGTCTCACGCTGCTGACCTCTCAGCGGTCAGAACACGCACGTGCCACAACCCGGAACGCGGCCTAGTGTGGACCCACCTCAGATGAAACTGTGCTGGTAGACGTACGTCTATTGCTGCAACGACTGTGCCTTAAACTCTACGTAAAATACTAAACAGCAGACGTCGCAGGCTTGTCCAAACAGGTTGCTAAGTGCTTGCATCCGTTCAGAGACATGTGAATGTCTGGTGACAATGACGCTCTTGGCCGTGGCCCCTGCGGTAGGTGGACATACTCTGTCACATGGCTAGGCTAGTAATTTCCATCAGGGCATATGCTCGCACAATGTCAAAATTTACTGGATCTTGTTTATGGTCAGCGCTAACTCCCATGCCCTAAACGCTCTGCGTTTTGCTGATTTTGTGTGACATGAAGTGTAGTCAGGCTCGGACATGTGCAGAACAGGTATCCCAACCTCCGGGAAATTCCTCGCAAGGGGAATACGACGGTCGCAGCGGTAACTTTGCTGTAGCTAAATCATATCTGAGTCAAGGAAAATGACCTTGCTGCCAGCCCCAACAGATAGGTGCTGAATGGAGAATGATGTCACAACATGAACTGTCGTATATACCACATATACAGAGCCAAAATAATCTTCTATAGTAGCCAAAAAATCAGGGTCGATGTTTCCACAGCCACGGAGGGCTTAGATACGCGTAAGGTACCAAGAGTTTGATTCTGTGATTTAGTTTTTGTCGCCCTCATGCAGTCGCTGTGCACAAAATTTATCTGGCCGCACCACCCACATACATGAACTTGCCAGAATGAGAGGTGCGAATACGCACCACTTATGCTATTTTGATTTTGCTGCTTGTTTTCGAGCGTAGAAAGGCTTTGCTGTTAAAGGTTTTTGTGGTTTTTAAAGGTGAAGATACATTAAATGTTTTGGGCGACAGTTTCCGACCGCCACGTTCAAGCCTATGCTTTATATCTGACCATCACTTCCACACGTAAAGGTGGACTGATGTCTTCTCCTAGACGTAAATTATATCCAAGCATTTATCAACGTTCTACACAGCTAAAATGCACACATTGTGCACCTGGGCCAGAATCATGCGCAGATTCGTGATGTTTGCCCAAACTTGACCTGGCAGGAATCGCGAACCTTGCATCTGGTCCATCCCGGCGGAGTGCCTACCGTGATGGAGATCAGGCGTTGTACAGGCCGACAGACCACGGTCACCGCCATCTTGCCCCGAGCCACTGTTGCGTGACCAGACGGGCTTAACCAGGCCCACACAGAGTTCCGTTCAGTGCAGCCCAGCTCAGTGACCGCCAGCCTGCCCCAGACTGCCGGCGGTTGCCCACGTGCCGGCCATTGAGCGCTCATACACGGCCGAGAGACGGCTCGGTGTACTGCGGTACAGTCTACCAGCCCGACTTCCAAGCTCCTCTGGTAGCAGACCCTCGAGGCCGGACGCTCCATTGAACGTGCCAACGCGGCGGTGCGTGCCCTCGGCCCTGGAGGACGACCCGTATCAGGCCAAACAAGCCACTGATGTGCATAAACACTCTGGAAAGTCATACGCCTGCGTTTAATCGGGGTAATTGCGTCACTTGGTTTACCTTTTGGTCTCGAATCTGGGTCGGCTGCCTGCCGCGTCAGACTTAAATGTATTTCTGGACGAAACTATTCCATCAACGCGATTGAGTGCAGTTGAGTTATTCTGATTGGCGCGGCAATATGCTTAAGGCTTGTTAGTAATATTTACGGTAAATATGGCATCAAATCGAAAGGGTACTGTGATCATGGGGTATAGGTCGCAAATACGGACGTTTTTCCTCACTTAACTACTCGCCTCTCGGTCTCACGGCTAGCTGCGCCATCTTAACAAGCTCGTTTTCAGAAACTAAAAAGTGAAATGGGCCATTACAATTCTTAGTCTTTCAGTTCACCTAAGCTTTCGGAAGGGAAATCTACGTTAAATTTTGATTGTTATTAGTCTTCTTTGGTTTCCGAAACATGCGATTTACTATCACTTTTTTGATAACGTCAGTACTTATGAGCTAAATCTTCCAGTTGGACTCTTTATTCTAAGGCTGCTATAACCTAAGATTTTGCAGGCCACCGTAAGTCAAAAAATTCACCTAGTCCTATGTAAGGACACCGTTTCTTGAAATATATCATTACCCGCTGCAATATTACTTATTTATGCTGCGCTAGCATGCTGTCATGGTACCTGCGCAGCGTCCACACTGGTAAGAGGATGAGAGCAGAAAACAAAACACGCGAGGGAAGGCTCGAGCTCTGACCACGCGTATTCCTAATGCAATGAACTGCCATCTTGTGGACTGATGACTCCCAAAGTCACCAACACAGTGTACATTAGGAGTGCTTCCATTACGCTATATTGCCCCATGGGCTTACTGATAGGCTCGTCTGTGTGGCTGCGGAAGCTTTGCTGTGTGGCCTCTCAATATGTAGTATTTTCGCTCTTGTTCTGTGCGCTCTGAATGGTCGCAATACGGCAGCTGTCTTCCAGCTGGAGACGCAATTGCTACCCTGTGGTTGAGCCAGCCAATATATGACCAGCTGTTATCTGATGGTGTATTCACAACAGTGGTATTCGGATGGCTGCGATCATTGCGTTCACTTATTTGGATCTGGAGTGTTGAGCGGCGGTGACAGCACGTGACATTGCTGCTGATAAATCCCCAGGCGAAGCAGTGGACGTATTGGAGTCATTTTATCTCCGCAACTCTTCTCATTTCAGCAACCGCCGTGATGCAAGGTAGACTCGCAAGCGTAACGTGAACAGGACAGCGAGCTCTGTAGCACTTGCTCTTCACGGGTCATTGTCCAAACTGGCCTGGAGAGTGATGTGGAGTGATCGGTCGCTTAGCAGCTGATTAACATCATGCTGAATATTGCGTCTGGTGTTGGGCAACACTCAACCGGCCCAACTTTGCGGTTTTAGTATGTGTTCATGAGATGTTACCCCTCCCCAAAAGAGAAAGAGCCGAAATTCGCGTTGCTGAATAAACATGAGGATGAACGCAACGGATGCTTCCCTGTCACACGGCCTCGAATCCCCCGCAAGGGCAATCTCGAAGACCTGGCATCCTCTCCTCACACCGCCCTGCACGCGTCATGTCCTCCGCCCACTGGCTCTTGGGCCGGCGCCGCCTGCCTCAGCGCGCTGGCGCTGACCCGGTGACGTCGAGCGTGCGTGGCCGGCCGGGACGATTTATCGGCGCCGGCGCGGGTCTGTCGGCGTCAGCCCGGCAAACAACGCTCCTGGCGCTGTCCGGCGCCGGCGACAGGTGGATTAATGGCGCCGCTCCGGTACAGACTTGGCCAGTGAAGCGCGTCTCGGTGAGCACATCGGCCGCCGGCCACGGATTGCAAAGACGCTCACTAATGCTTGCAGATGCCGAGATTCAGTGCAGCCCGTAAGTGGTGAGCACCAGCGCTGATAGATATGGCCAATGATTTATTCATTTGGATATGACTGCCCGCAAAAGGTAAAGCTCCCGTTATTTTTATCGGAAACATTCCATACAGCTGCGGCGACAATTTATGGCCCACGTGTCCTTTCCGGGCACCTGGCATGCACCCGCTTGGGACATCTGTCTCAACTGGACATTGGCTTGCCCTAGAGCAATAACTGGACAATATTTCTGCAGCGCGACTCACATAAAGTGGAATTCTGCTACGAAAGAAAACGAACACTTTCCACAAAGTCATGATATAGCCCTTGGACATGATTCTGATTCTTTGCTTGGAAAGCAGCACACGGCACGAAAGGTCGAGTTGTTCCATAGGACGCTTGTGAGTTGACCCTCATATACCCATGCCACCTAACATTGGCCAGATCTTGGCCTGACCTTGTCACCTGACAGGGTCGCGAGCCTGCCCTGACCCTGACTTGCCTTGGTTTCAGGATCATGACTCGTCACGTGTCTGCAGTCAGCGCCTGCGCCTGGCTGGCAGCCATTGTCTGCTTCGTCTTCTGCTGGTCCTCCTGCAGCGCCGCCAGTGTGCGCCTGGAGGACGCAGAAAGGTTCGTGTGTAAGGAAAGAGTAACTGGGAGAGGTCAGGTTTCAAGTACCGGTATGGAAAGCAGAGAGCTGTCCTGTATCGGTTAAACTTCCAACCTTCAGGTCATGGTGGAATATTTTTGAGGGTGGCATTTTAAAGAGCGGTCTACAGTTGTGTGAGTGGGCTACGTTGGGTTGAATGCGAGGATCCCCACTGTGTTCACAGTCGTGTTTCTGCATTAACCATAGCCTTAATATCGTGCCGTGGCCAAGCTAAAAACAATCATAATGGATGATGTTTAATCCAGCGACTCAATTTTAGCTTGTATCTTCATCGTTTATCTTAAGTCAGTGCTGGTAAGCAGGAGCGCAGCCAGAGCCTTCGCAAGGGGGTGCACAGGGTTGACAGAGGACACCCCATAGTGAAAAGACCCCCCCCAAATCGTCGGATATGACCCATTTGTTTTTGAGGACATGCTTATATATAATGATGCATTTTTACCTTTCTATTTGAAATATAGGCTAGACGCTACCGCGAGATCAATTCTGCCAAAAGTTTATAGTAAGCAAACTGTCAAAATCGCGAGTTCAGTTACTGCATGAAATAAAACTGCTGGCGCTCTTTATTTTTCAATGGTCCAGTGGACTTTTTTAAACCGATAGAACTCAGAAACTTTTCAGAATTTTGTCTGGGCTTTACAGAAATAGCAAGGGTTCCGCGAATGTAGATTGAAAATCGGGATGGATCAAAAAATTCGCAAGTGGTTCAACAATCTGTATTACTATGCCAGACCATGTATGTCTGGGATATCTTCAACATTTAGTCAAAATTGATTGGTGGTACAAACTGCATAGTTTTGATCATGCGCGCTCGCGCATCTTTCAAATAAATAGCTGGACGTCAAGCGTTGCAATCTCCTTAGGTCGCGCAGCGTCGGTTTCCCAGACGTGCAGTGGTTAATGCGGGCGCGTGAACCACCAAACTTTCGCCACCCCGGTGCACAGGCTCAAACGTTTTGATTTTATTTGTTTCACCAATCGATTCTGTAAAATAATGAATATTCTCAGGAAAACATGAGATGGCATTGTGCGCTTTGAATCCATTTCGACCTACTCCACTCAGCACTAATGAGACCATTTCTTTCTTTCCGGTAGAGGGGAGCCCCTGAGTACAACACCACGGGGCACAGTGCTGTTCCCGGTCAAGGACTGGATACCATCCTGTCTCACCGCGTTACGTTTTCTGGCCGTCATTCTGGCGACACGGGGCGGCATCCCCTGGCCAATCCGGAAGCCCTTAGTGTAGACATCATGTCACATTGGTCTGCTCCCTGACGCAGGAGGCCTTCTGACATGCGCGGTGGACCCCGGATCGGCGCATTAACCGTCATTAACGCAACAGCATCCTTGCTCAACGCAAGTGCTCAATAATTGGCACATAGACTCCAGTTGGGCTTAACGGACCCATGCTGGAAAAGGGTTTGAGAGCCCGCCGGCGGTAGTGGGGGCTCTGACTGGCACAGGACTCTTCTGTTACCTCAATGGGAGCACTCATCATAAGCTCTTGATTTCTTCAATTGCCAGAGGACACCGACCAACGGAATTTGAATTTGAAAAACGAGAACCTCTGCCATTTGGGCTCCGCTCTTTCCCCTGATCGATTCGATGTCCCTTGTTGACACATAATGCCCTGTAAGACACCAAGGGCCCCTGAATTATACAGGAGCCCAACCGAAATACATCGCCCTGTCCCTGCTTCGGAGATGCGCCCCCAGGGCTCAGACCAACATGGAGCCGACTGTTCGTTGTTCGTGATATCCGGTTGAAATAGAAGACCGCTCCGTCTCAAGGGTCCCTATCCGTGTAAAAGATCATCTCACTGAAATTTAAGATCACGATCCTATGGGCGATGGCCCTTGATGAGGCCTGCGGCCAGTCCATCGGACCCTTCAGCTATCCCATCGGCCCCTGATCTTTGGTCTGGAGAGGCCCTTCGACCCTTCTTCGGGTCCCCTCAAATGCCGCTCCGGCTCGGGGCCACTTGCTGCCACGGGACCCTGTTCGGCACTGTGGCCCCTAACCGACACAGGAGCCCCTCATTGTGTCAGGGACCTTGAATATTGGAAATTGCGGACTCCGGCCTCGTCTCTGCTTGGGAAATGGGTCTTAAGGGCCCAGATGGACATGAAACCGACTGTTCGGTTTTCGTGGTCTCTGACCGACCTAGACACTCGCATTGTCTCAGGGGTTCCTAAAACGCTTGCAAAAGGACTTCTGACTGATATTTCAGGTCCCGACGATACTGGCCACGATTCTTTATGTGACCTACAGTCAGTCCTTCGGGCCCTTATGCCCTTCTATCGAGCCTTTGATAGTCAGTTTCCGGTGGATCGTCCGGGCCCCTCTTCGGGTTTCATAAGGCACTTTCCCTGGTCGTCTCGGGGCCCTTGCGAGCGCAGAGCCCTCTGTTAGGTACTGTGGGCCCCTAACAGATACAAGGCCCTCGACCAGTGTAAATCACTGGCCCCGTCTTTATGGCTGATTGGGAAGTAGGTCCTCAGGCCCACACCGACATGGCGACGACTATGTGGTACGGTGGTACCCGACAAACATATAGGCCCATATCGACGCAGGGGGTTTTCGATCGGCACAAAGGGCCCTTCGAGCGTCACTTAAGGGTTCGTCTTCGCAGGTCTGGGCTTCTGAATAAGACTCCAACCCCTCTTCATTCCCTTAAGCCCCCCCCCCCCCCAACCGGGCTCTTGATCGCCGGACCGCGTGGGCCCTCCCAGGTTCTCCGCCCCTCCTCGAACACTGCCTCTGGCCGACTCGGGGCCCCTTGACAACACAGGGCCCCTGTTAGGCGCTGTGGGCCCGGAGCAGTGTAAATCGCTGGCTGCAGCTTTGTCTCTGCTTGGGAAATGAGCCATTCGCCCATGTAGCCACGGAACCGACTGCGCGTTACTGGTGGCGTCTGACCAAAATATAGGCTCTTATCGATTCAGTGGGCCCCTGATCAGAGCCTAGGGCCCTCTGGCTGGCATTTGAGTGTCCGGCCCTACGTACCATGCACTCACACTTTCTTTTCCTTTGGCTCAGAGTCCCGTGAAGCCTCATAAATGAGGGCCGATATGTCTGTAATACCATGGACTTCATTAAGTTTACTGGCTGCGTATGGTGTCCGCAGTTGGGGGTAGAAACATATCCCGCAGAGCGCATATATGACCATGTGCATATGCTTCCTCTGCAATGGATTAAGTAACGGAGCACGCTCGCACATACGCGTAACGTTCATAATATGTCATTCTAGCAACATAACCTGTATCACGAGAGCCATCACAAATCACGGTGCGAAAGAATCGCTTTCATGTGCTAGATCGCATAGCGTGTCCGCTTAACGCTCAACTCTGCTCGACAGGAAATCTTGGGCGGACGACGTGGAGAACATGCAGAACGACCTCTACGTCAGCGAGCTGGTTAATCGGCTGCGCGCGCTCAACGACGCCGAAGAGACCGGTCTGGCCCAGTACGAACTAGATAGATATTTCCGAAAACACGTGCCGTTTTTCCACCTGTACAACAGAGTGCCGGCCACGCCTACTGCGGCGCGGTCCGTATACGCCGGGTAGGTCGCCAGGGCTCCAATAGATGTCGCTGCCTGCCGTCTGGCTGTTCGAGCATCGTGGCCTGGCCAAGAGAGGACATCGCAGTAGAGAACGGTAGCATTCTACCTTGGTTTTACAGACCTACCCGGCGAAATGGATAAGATGGAACGTTTTTATTTGATTGCTTATTCTCATGTGATTTGTGCATTACGTGTCGCTGTTTTGTTTTGCATGATGAATGGCGCCTTACGTGACCGATGTCTTTCGCTTCATCTTCTACTCATTCCAAGAGGGCTTCTTCATGGGTGAAAGATGTGTTAATTCAGAGAGTGTCTGATGACATCAGTGACGTTAATGCTCATTTCCATCGTCGCGTCTTTTTAGCGTGGTGATACGTTTACGCATTTATATCATATTTAGTGATACATAAAAACAAAAAGCAGATGGCTGCCCTCAAAACATGCCGCTTCCATCTGACACTTTCCCTGTTCATAATTGATCCACAGCGATCTCCACAGCGTCTGTGAAGATCCAATCTCGTCTCTGATAGATGCCTGCTTCCCCACAGCAAGCGCGGGTTTGACTTCGGCCTGGGCCGCGGCTTCTCGGCCACGCAGGCGGCCAAGCACAAGATGGGTCTGGAGGCGGCAGCCTTCCCGGGGGGACCCGGCCGCCGGCGACGCTCCGTCGAGCAGGCGCTCCATCTGTAAACCCCCGACCTCCATATGGCGTGCCCTCCTCTGCCCCGGCGGTTCCATGTGGAACTGACGGTGCTAGTTGGAGTGTCCCCCAGCCAGCCTCGGCGGACTGGATCCGGTGGTCACGCGGGATCAGCTGACTCCGGCAGGTCGGACCGCTTGAGGTCCGTAAGCCGATCAGGAAGACACCTTGGAGTTAGCTGAAGAGGCTGAAGATAGTTTGGTCTGTGGTGGGAGCGCCTAAGCCTCAGCTGATCCCGCAGGATCAGCTGATCCCGCTGGTTCTCAAGGGCTGCTGGTCAGTCGCCTGTCCGCCGCCGGCTGATAGTTTGCTTGTTGTACGCTCACGGACGGGGCGGTCTTATCGTTCTCACTGCGCCGGAGCCACATACAGAGAGTTGTTGGTTAGAGTTGTGTAGTGTGCAGTTCACTTTGCTTCGCCCCACCTAGCGCCAATCGTAGTCGCCATACGGCATCCGAGTTTTACCTGAGTTATAGTTACCAGATGTCTGATCAGTGTTTCATCAGCATTATAGCAGAGTTGTATGACGTATCGGCCACAGAAAGTACGGTTCGAGGAAAGGAGCAGGCTCCAGTGTATTGGCACATCCAAGCGCATCCAGCAGCCTGCCAGCAGGGCAGCTAAGCGAGACCATTGGGCGTCCATCGCAGTCACGTCTGGTTGGGGCTGGCCCGAGCGCTCACGTGGGCATGGCGCCGGTCTCTAGCGACACCGACGCATGTACAGACCGGCTGGGCCACCTGTCACTCTGCCAATGGACAACTCTGTTCGATCATCCACGCGTGAGACAAATGTGTGCCGTGTTTAAGTTAAAATGGTAGTGTCGATTATTTGAAATAAATATATTTTGTTGACGATGTCTCCTGGTCACCGACTAAAGGTCAAGGCCGAGGTAAACAGCAGAACGCGAATACTAACAGCGTTGCTCTGTCCGCCACGCAGTTCCATTATACTCATCCAGTACCTCTCCCTGACATGACAATATAGGTGTCACCCAAATTCCTGCCATTTTGAATTTCTGTTTTCATGTTTAGTTGCCTTATGATTCCTGCTGGTTCAAGTTTGTGCAAGAGATGAGTACCAAGGCTCACTCGCAGCTCCCTCTGAATGACAGCGGACTGGACGTGAAGCGCATTGTCGTTGTAGCTGTGCTCATGTAAGACAGCTGAAACATGTGTGTTCACAAAGCTTTTCAAATCAAACCAGCCATAGAAGTTGGGGCGTTTGTCCCTGGCACCAGTCGCTATAAGAAGGAAGAGAACACCTTAGGATGTGACACTCGCTCCAGGGTTAATCATGGGACCACAATATCGGCAGAAATCATATCTAACAAACAAAAGCTACAAAAGAATCGAACAGCTGCTGATGTCAATCATTTCAGGAATGTGTTCACGGACAGGTGTGATATTTTACGCAGTGTTGCATCACCAATATTGTTATATGTTACGCGGTGTTGCATTAGTTGCAGTTCAGCGCTGTGTGCCAAAATCATGTCGCTTGGTCTTTATGGATAGGCACGATTATACACGCCACAAAACGAAAACATATTTGCTCGAAACGGCCACCATAACCTGACATTCTTAGCCACAAACCATCTGACCAGTGCCTCCACGTTGGTTTGCAAGAACCAAACAAGTGAAGCCAAGTTTCCCCACATCTGACAACCCCCAGTCATCGGGGCTAACAGTATGCTACATAGATCTAACATGTTCAGATGTTGCGTCGATTATGCTGGGTGATTCGAAAAGCTAACCCACACATCACTGCCTCTGTCCCCGTGTTTGGTAACGCACCTTAAGTAAGTTAACAGTTTTGTGACGTCCACCTACACCGTACCGTTTGATCATCTAATTAGCTGTCCAGGTATGCCTGTTCTTGTCATGTTCCAATAAATGTGCGGCTTCTATTAAGCACTTACCCGCTGCCCTGAAAAGCTTCGGTAGCATTATTTTTCCAGCCGAATTAACACACGGCGAGGAACGTGACTTTCTCGGGGTTACTGAGCTGAGCCAAATCATCAGGTGCATTTTGCATGTCGAGTTAAGATGATTGCTTGCCTGCTGCAGGCATTGGGTTTATGGGAAATTTTGATCCATCTGAAAACCCCGAAAACTTCAGCCACCCGCAGGCTCAACAAATGTATTTGAAACTGGAAATGCATTATTGATGGGGTCACAATGTGACAGTGTCGCCGTCCTTCGGCAGTCGCAATACTTTGCACGAGGCGCTGAGACTAATGTATCCGTCCCGTACGCATCAATGGTGAAGAAGGAATCCCAATAATCATAAACTTCCATTTCTAAAGACGATTTACGGTTCAACAAAATTCGTTTTTCATCAGATGCGGCACTGGCAAAGAGCGGCATTCGGCTGCAAACAAATGTGCTAACAAAAATTTCATCAAGTGCGTGGTGCCAAGAACACTTAGAGACACCGTCACGCACATCTGAGGCGCCGGCAACCTCTAAAGTTGCATAGAAACATATCCGAAAGAAGGTTAACGTCCAGACAGACGCTAAGCGCCCACTGTAAAAGACGCCACAGCGCCACTACTCACGCATACCTCTGCTGGCGGTAGTAAGCTGTGATGCAAGCGACGAACTCGTGCGCCACACTTGCGCCTGGCTGCAAGTTGGGTAACTCTAGGTATCCCGCGCCCCCGGCAGATGTCAGGCAGGACCTGATCTCCTCGATCGTGAGCTGCGACAGGAGCTTAGGCGTAACCCCGTCCGGCACCCAAAGGAGGGCGTGGCAGCGGGGTAGAGGCACATGTCAGGCGGCGCACGTGACCGGGGTGGGCGCCACTGCGACCCGGAGCGACCGCCCGCCGTCCACAGGCCAATGCAGTCTGGTGTTGGCGTTCACACATAATTTGAAATTTTGTTCGATATGTATTATCACTCGTAGCAAAATACGCACAGAAAAGGGATAGGCTTACGCTGTCCGGTGCGTGTATCCGTGCAGGATGGCGAGCCACGTCATAGTTACTGAGACAACAACCTAATACCGTCATAGTTACTGAGACTACAACCGTGGGTCAAACCACGTCTCTAAGACTGAGGCTGAGAACCGGCGAGGGGAGGGAGTCAAACTGGGACATAAGGGAGGTAGCCTGATCTGAAAATAGAATGGAATCTAGACTCTTCCGGCTACAGGATCCTACGAAAAAGCCGGTCGCTTCCACCTGGCTGGAGGCGCCGAGAAGCTGCTCTTAGCGACGAGTGTTTTCTTTCCGCGCAGCCTAGTGCTGGAACTGCCAATCGCTGGCCATCACTACCTCTTGGACAATGCATAAATTCGTCAAGAGCTTAGACCAACTGAAGAATACGGCAACGCAGGCTTTTTCTTGTCTTGTTTATTGCCATTTTTGGCATCTATACTCATCGCTTTCGTTTCGTTTCGTTTTGTTGCAGTTTACTTTCGTAACATGTGATTGACTGGGTTCAAATACCATACGATTAACAAACAAATACCACACACTAGCAAAACTGAACAACACGACATTCCAATCCCATGCCACGTACTAGCGGTGTCAAAAACAGTGGAATGTATAGAGGATCGACCCTACAAAGTTGCAGAGGCAAAAATGGCATTTAGTATTTGCTGGTGTTCAATTTTAACTTTGTAGTGATATTTTCATTTCCTTTCCTCCTGTCAAAATAGGTTCAATACTACTTTTTTCAGCTCTTTTTTCGTATTGTAGATAGTAGTCACCTGGCCTGGCAACAGCTAGTACCGATTTTGCGATCAACTATGTCCTTCAGTCCCATGCAGGGTCAGTTAAGACATTTGCCATTTCATTGGGAAATTCCGAAATTTTGGACTTAAAAGCTGAAAACTACCGTAAAGCCTTCAAAACGGGGGTCAGATATGATGATGATTTCGTTGTCTTATGATGGCAATGCTATTTGAGAAATTATAAGTGGTGAAAATGGCGCACAATATGGCGTAAAATATTATAAATCATACACAATCCATAACATATGTTAACCAGCGATTAGCGACATGACACCGGCTTGAGAACGCTGAACGACGAAAACAATTCTGTTTACTGTCGAGTTGAAGTATTCTTCCTGACTCTCATCCGGACAAGGCGAGAAAAGCGCCATGCGAGATAGGCTGGGGAGAGGGCTTGTTCGAAAAAGCTATGGTCAGGTGGATCTTGGATTTCGATATCTGTGGAGCTATTCAAGGCAGTGCATGCGTTTTACACGTAAGCTATGTGCCAGCGGTATAGTTTTCCATCTAGTTGGGGCAAGAATGACTCTAAACCTTGTCACAGGAGTGAAAGGTGAACTCTCTGTCACCGACGAAGTTTTTGTCGTCTGGAGCCAAATATTTCAGAAAACGTTGCAGCATAACTCTAAGAACGATCCACTACAAAACAAAGACATGAAACGCAATGCGGTATAAACATCAAACTTTTTCGTTCCAGGAGTTCATGTGCACTAAAATGCTGCTGGTCATCAAACACTGAATGGTGGTTAAGACTTAACTGCTAAAGCAATCACATAAGGGCAAGCTAAACATAGCCAGCCTAGAGGTGCATAATTTCCTGTTCATTTGGAAAGGGGGATTGTGTCTCCTAACTATGGATGTAGTTTCCTATTTTCAGTTGTAATTTTGCAGTCATCATTTTTTATGAATCAGGATTTTTAAGAGCTCAGCCCCCAAATTAATTTTAAGAAACTACACCCCTGTTCCCACCTCTGAAAAGAAGGAACGTCAAACCCGGGGATAAAAGTGCATTAAATGCAATCCGGAGGCAGCCTCAGACATTTTTTCTCTTCCCTCCTGCCTCATCCCAACGCATTTTGCGAAACTGCATCCCTGTTGCCCTACATTTATCGACAGGAGCACCTGAAAACAGTACACTTTTGGTTTTGTGACGTTATCGTACAACCAGCTGGAAGCGTTAGTGACCATCGCTATCTTCCATAATTATTACCGATGCAGAACTCCCACTTCCTGACATGATCTTCGTTAAGTAATACAAAACCAATGCAATATTGGTATCAAGAGATGTATATGACATTTTTGAAACACCTCTGGGGTCTTCATTTAGCTTTGTATGTCATGTGATGAAAACTAAAAACGTTTTATCTCGCGCCTGTCCACCGATCAGGGCACTTAGCTTGGGGCGCAACGGGCAATGTGAGAGCCCTACACCAGCGGTGCTTGGCCTCTTACCCTCAAATCCGCTGTTCCTCTCAGCAGCAGGAAGCCCCGGATGAACCACTGACATCTATCTCCCCAAAATCCTCCGTTTACCTCTGAAGCTGCAGTTCACGTATCCACAAACAAGTTTCCTAGGTCTACGGCTAGGGCTGGGCTTTTTGGTGCAATTACAAAGGACACACTCCATGGTAGATCTTTAAGAAATCGTTCAGAACCTTAAAAACTGACGATTGGCTATGCTATTCAAGCCAGTCAGCTTCTCACGACATGAACACAATCAACGGCAGCCCACAGCCTTGCACTGAGCCCAATTCATTACCGCGCGGCGAGCATTCGAGCCCATCTGTCTCAAATGGCACAACGCTTTAAAACGCGGCGTAACAAACTGATCACCTCCGCAATATGTTGTAGCCAGTCACGATTCTTACGACTGGTAATAAGGCCAGTTATTTGGTATGTTATGCTGCTTTGCATATGTGGTGAATCTTGACTGAAGAATCTGTGCAAAAACACTGATCTGAGGGGCACAATTGGAAAAGCACTGTGTCACCACTGATCTGTGACGTCAGCACCGATATAGTATAGTCTGAAGCATATTTATGTCACCTGCTAGAAACTATCCTGATAAAAGCTTCCGTGTTTGGCAACATCTTGTGGCTCAACTTGCCCATACAGT